GCAGAGGTGACAGGGCCTTCTCTGTAGCAGGACCAAGACTCTGGAACGAGTTACCTCTGCTTGTCAGACAGGCCCCCTCCCTCTCGGTTTTCAAGTCCCGTTTAAAAACTCACTACTATTCAGTATCTTTCAACACCAGATGATCTGTGTTTGATCCTGTATGCTCCACACTGGTTAGTCATCATTATCTGCATCGTTTTTATGTCTATATTCTGATTTACCTCATTTTGTATTTTGCTGTGTGTGTTACCTGTTGTTCTGGCTGTACAGCACTTTGGTTGGTCTTGTCGCTATTTTAAGTGCTCTATAAATAAAATGGTATGATATGGTATATTACAGATCTTATTGTTCCATATTTTCCTAACAGAGCACTTCGCTCTCAGACTGCAGGTTTACTTGTGGTTCCTATAATTTACAAAAACAGAATGGGAGGAAGATCTTTCAGTTCTCAGGCTCCTCTCTTGTGGAACCAACTTCCAGTTTCTGTCCGTGAGGCTGACACTTTGTCCAGTTTTAAGACTTTAATTTTTGCTAAATCCTATAGTTAGGGTCGGCTTGGGTTTCCTGAGCTGTCCCTTAGTTCTGCTGCTATAGGCTTAGACTGCTGGAGGACAAACTGACCACATTTTTCACTCTGCTACTGTCTTTACTTACTCTGCTCAACCTGTTTTGTATTTGTAATTATTTTTTCTATCATTAACATGTTTTTGTCTTTCAGATACACCTGGACCTATACCTGGACCTGGACCTATATCTGGACCTGGACCTATACCTGGACCTACCATTCTGTGTTCTTCTGTCTCTCCTTCCTGTCCTCTCAACCAGCTGGTCAAAGCAGATGGTCTCTTGTCCTGAGCTGGTTCTGCTGGAGGTTTTTTCCTGTTAAAGGGAGTTTTTCTTTCCACTGTCTCCACTGTGCTTGCTCAGGATGGGAGACTGCAACGAAGCCAAGATTCAACTTGTCTGCTGGATTCCTTAGATAGAGAACTTTACTAACTGGCTTTTATGTGAATGTTCCTGTAAAGTGTCCTGAGACAACTTGTTGGGATTTGGCGCTTTATAAATAAACTGAATTGAATTGCCCACATGGGCATTGAAGTCACCCAGTAGCATGAGGGAATCCCCAGATGGCACCCCTTCCATGACACCATCCAGAGACTCCAGAAAAGCCAGATAATCTAAACTGATGTTTGGTGCATATGCACAAACAACAGACAGAGCCTTCCCTCCTGCAGCCCAGTACCACAGAGAGGCAACCACCTCATTCACCAGGGAAAACCCCAACACCGAGGCCTTCAACCGGGGGCTTGTGAGTATCCCCACGCTCGCCCACTGCCTCTCTCCCTGGGCAACTCTGGAGTAGGAGAGAGTCCAGACTCGCTCCAGCACTTGGGTTCCAGAGACCAAGCTGTGAGTAGAGGTGAGCCCAACTTTATCTAGTTGGTACCGCTCAACCTCATTCACCATCTCTGGCTCCTTACCCACCAGCGAGGTGACCTTCCTCGTCCCTAGACCTAGTCTATACCACCAGGAACCTGCATGGCCATGGACCATCCTTCACCTGCCGCCTGACATGCACAGCATCTAACCTTGATGGACCTCCCTGCAGGTGGTGGGTCCATGTGGAGTTAACTTCCTGTTACTTTTTCAGGCTTGGCCTGGCCAAGTCCCAGGAGCCAATTGAGCACCAGGTGCCCCCCCCCCCCCCCCCACACACACACACACACACAGGCCCAGCTCCAGGGAGGTGCCTCAGTTTCCATTTTCTGGGTGAGATTTCCTGATTTATTTGTTTTTTCAACAAGGTTTTGAATCACTCTTTGTCTGACCCCTCCCCCGAGGCCTGTTTGCCATGGGAGACCCCCCAACAACAGAGGCCAGGATGACAGGGGTGCTCAAACCCCTGCGCCATGTTAAAGTGGCGATTCTGGGGAGGGGCAGACAGTACCACAGTAAGTAAATTTGTCAGTAATACAGTTAGTACTATATTCAGTACTACAGTCAGTCCTACCATCAGTACTATAGGCAGTACAGTATATGTACTTGTACTGTAAATGTCAGAGTGTTTCTATCTGAAGACGTGTTTTTATTTTTAGTCTGTAATAAAAACTGAAGAACACTTAAAGGTGAGTGGAAAGGTTTCTGCGTGTATGTGTGTGCATGTGTGCGTGTGTGTGTGTACATGTGTGTGTGTGCATGTATGTGTGTGCATGTGTGTGTGTGTGTGTGTGTTTGTGTATCTGGGGGGTTAACTGCCCTTTGCAGTGGATTCTGATCTGGTCTCATGTTTCTGCTGCAGATGAACTTTGACCTTCTCTGAGAGTCAGGGACCGTCAGGAAAGGTCCAACAGCTGAACAGGAGCACTGACAACTGCACAGAACCCGAACCTTACAGAACCTGAAACTAATGAACCAGAACCTTTAGAAATGAAGAAACGATTTGTTTAAAATGTTTCTAAAGTTTATTGTTGTTGTTAGTTTGGCTGTCATATAATTCCTTTAATGATTCTGCTGCAGGGGGTGCAGTATAAATCTACAGAACCTGAGGAAACAACAGAACCACAACTGTCCTCAGGTCAGAACCAGGAGATCCAGGACAGTCAGACCTGAACAGAACCAGAACCAGGACCCTGTTCAAGAGAAGTCATTGAAACAGCTGCATGAAGGAGAACTGAAGGGTTCTGGAACATGCTCTGGACCTGTTCTCAGACCTGTTCCTGTGGGGGTGTTGTTCATTTGTTCTGGTCCTGTCACATTCAGACGCTCCCTGCCTCCTCCCCCCTTCCTCCCCCCTTCCTCCTCCTGGGTCTATAAAAAACCTGCAGTGAGAAGGACAAAGACTTTCCTCGTCAGTCAGACAGTCAGACAGACGGACAGTCAGACGATCTCCGGCCTCTCGGATCAGAACCTCTCAGGTAAGTGGACTCAGGACCCAGAACTGGTCTCAGGTTTGTCAGTTTATAGTCTTTAAACCGTTTGTCAGCTGCTTCCTGTTTCCCGTCTCGGAGCAGCACTGACAGGCTTTTATTCTGAAAGGATGCATGTTGCAGGGTCACGCGTGTTGCTGTAGGGTCACATGATGCGTTCAGGTGCACCTGTTCCTACAGTTAAACTTAGTTTGATGGAAAAGTGAGAAAAGTTTGACTGAAGGTCACAGAGCTGAAGGCTGACAGCACGGCGGGTACAAAGTCCACACACACACACGAGAGATACACACTGAGACACACTCAGCTACACAACACACACACACACTGGGGGGGGGGGGGGGGGGTCTGTGGAGATAAGAACAGCTGAACAGAAACCAGACCCTGGATCAGTTCCAGTCCGACGTATTTGTTTTATTTTGGGTGAAATGTCCCTTTAATACCTCTGTTGGAGAAGTTCTGATCAATCAATCAATCAATCAACCATCAATCAACCAGTCTATCAGTTAATCCACCTGATGTATGTCTGATGCTCTGCTCCTGTTTTTATTGATGTATTTAGTCATGTTCATAAAATATAATAGAATGAAGATGAAAGTAAAATGAATAAATGTGTTTGTAATTAAAGATCAAAGGGTTTTTGTGGCTCCAGCTGCAGATTAACTCACTTTAAAGCACTTTGATAACAGTTTATCTGTTTTAAATTGTGCTCTACAAATAAAGATGACTTGACTTGACTTTAATGTGACTCTGGGTAAAATGGACAGAATGTCCCTTTAAATGTTAAAATCTTCTCTAATCTGTTTCTGATGAGACACAAAGACACGAAGACAAGGCTGTCCTGAAACAGTCTGTCCACACAGAGACGCACGGAGACGTGTGGGGTCTTTGTGAAGGTCTTCGGTGGTTTCAGATGTTCTTCAGGAGCTTTGTTCTGAAGGTTCTGTTAGAACCGTTCTACAACGAAACTTCAAATAGTTCTAAAAACAAGTTTTGATTTATTATTTTAAAATTATTATCTGCAATTTATAATTTCTGGGTTCCACTATACAGTCCTGGACACAATCAGAGACCGGTTCTGATGTTTGGTCCAATCAGAGACCG